GGAGGGATGCACCCCCAGGACAGAGCACTGTTATTTTGGAGAAGAATCTTCAAATTGGGCTGGTGGCTGAGTGGGTACCGGTAGTGCCTGCCCAGGGAAGATAGCATCCCCCTGACTGGAGACCCCCACCCCCAGTCCATCCAGCCCACAGCCAACCTGGACCGGACTGATGACCTGGTGTACCACAATGTCATGGAGCTGGTGCGGGCGGTGCTACACCTCAAGAACGAGCTCTGTCAGCTGCCTCCCGAGGCCTACGTGATGGTGGTGAAGGTGAGCACTGGACAGGTGGAGGCGGCTCATCCCAGCCCTGGATGGAAGCGGGAGGGAGCTTCCTGGTCTGCCCAGCAATTGCCTTTCCCAGGAAGACCCCCATAGAGCAAGGTGGTCCAAGAGAATTTAGCCCGAGGCAGCCGCAGAAGGCAGGTCCAGCCCCAGGAGGGCTCTTCCCAAGAGAACATGGCTTTCTCTAAAAGCAAGAGGTGACGGTCACCCTGCCCCTTTTCCCCCTAGAACGTGGGCCTGACCCTGCGGAAGCTCATCGGGAGTGTGGACAGTCTCTTGCCCTGCTTGCCATCATCTTCGCGGACAGAGGTGAGCGTCCACATCCCAGACAGCACCACTGGCTGTCACTTCTCCCCTTCACCTCCACCTACCCCACCTGTTTCGCACAGGAGGCTCACCTGGGCAGCCACATTTCTGTGAGCTGAGCCTCCAGCAGGGGGCTCTGCACAGCTCACGTGAGCAGGTACCACAAAGGGGCTGAGTTGGCACCAATGGACAGAGCCAGCATCCTACAGCAAAACTCCTCGTTTAGGTCCCAGCTGCAGTAACTTCTTAATGTGTGAGGACATGCAAAGGAGAACGTACCTTCCCTTCTGCCCCTGCTGTGATCCTTTATCTCCATACATGTCACCCTCCATACTAAAGTTGAACGAGTTATCGAAATAGCAGTTAAGATTTCTTTGATTGACCATTTAATCTAATTTCCTTTATTTAATTGAGAAACAATTACCAAAAGTCAAACTAGGAATCTTGGTGCTCTATATTAAGATGGTGCCCATGGTGGGCAGAATAACAGGCCCCTCTTCCTAATTCCCCAGAACCTGTGACTAGGCTACCATACGTGGCAAAAGAGACTTTGCAGATGTAATGAAGTTAGGGATCTTGAGCTGGGGAGATTATGCTGGAATAGCCAAGTGGGTGCAGTGTAGTCACAAGGATTGTTATAAGAGGAAGGCAGAAACAGAGGTTTTGTAAAGGTCAGAGAAGACGTGATGACAGAAGCAGAAGTTGGAATATTTCAATTTTGGGCTGAAAGGATCCGCAAGCCAAAGAAGCTGGAAAAGGCAGGGGACAGATGCTCCCCTAGAGCCTGCACAAGGAACACAGCCCGGCTGTCACCTTGACTTTAGCCCAATAGGACCCATTCCAGAATTCTGACCTCAGAACTCTAAGAGAATAAACCCGTGTTGTTTGAAGCCACTACATTTGTGGTACTTTGTCACTGCAGCAATGGAAAACTGATCCAATGCCTCGCACAGTTGTTGCTCATCTGTCTAGAAACCAGCTGTAGAACCCCACAGAACCTACAGCCCCTGGTAGGCTGTGGTTTGGTGTAGCATCTCCCAATGGTCAGCGATGTGGCACAGGTGACCACAGCATCCTACCACTGTCCCCACCATGTGTGACTGTTTGAGACAGGACAGTGGGATGTGGGGGGCTGGGCATTTCCCAGCCTTCCTCTGGGTAGCAGGAGCAGCCCACAGAGGAGCCCAAGGCTGGGCTATCCTGGGAGACTTTAGAGCATGATGGCCCAATCATTCATTTCACCTGATAACTATCTCTTGCGTGCTGAGTATGTGCTCAGCAGTATGCTAGGCACTGGGCGTATGGCAGTAAACAAAACCCTACAGCTCAAACCACAGTCCCTGAGCTCTTGATTTGATGGCAGATAGCTAACAAATGAATAAATGCACTTGACCCCTGACCATTCACTCCAACATTGGGCCAGCACAAGAAGGCCTGTGGGGCTGGGTCAGGCTGGCATGGGCTGGACTGAGGTCTGCAATGTCTGTCCTTGATGACCTGACTCCAGCCCACATGGAACCTTGGACTCAACCCTGGCCTGGGTCTGACTTGCCCCCCAGAGAACTTCTGACTGCCTTGGCCATGCCAGTGTGGACACTTGTGTGGCTTCCTCACCCTCCCATCCTAGACTTTGCAGCTCATTACTAATTCACTCTTCCTACAGATCGAAGGGACCCAGAAACTGCTCAACAAGGACCTGGCGGAGCTCATCACTAAGATGCGACTGGCTCAGCAAAATGCCGTGACCTCCTTGAGCGAGGAGTGCAAGCGGCAGATGCTCACAGCCTCCCATACCCTGGCTGTGGATGCCAAGAACCTGCTCGATGCTGTAGATCAGGCCAAGGTTCTGGCCAACCTGGCCCGCCCACCTGCAGAGTGACAGAGGGTGGGCGCCACCTGCCTGCGTCTTCCGCCCCTGCCTGTCATGTACCTCCTGTATCCCCGGCCCCTGCCTTGCCTTCGGTCATGTGGATCTTCTCAGGGGGAAGGCCGAGGGGAGTCCTTCCCTTGCCACTTTGCACGACCCCCTTTCCCCACCCTGACCCCTAGAATGTGCTGTTCAGGCTGCAACTGGACAGAGGGGACTCAGGGCTGTAGACACCAGGGAGTGACCAAGAGGGCTGAGGGGGTGCTGGGGCCACCGCTGCTGCCAGCCATGCCCTCCTCACACCTGCCTGGCCCGTTGGGAGTCACACTTGTGCTCCTAGAGGCCACGATGGCTTTATGCATGGACATAGCAGGCCATTGGGGAATCAAGCTATTCCCTCTCCTTCCTCTTCTGCCCATGGAGGTCCCCTGATGCAGAGAGGTAGGGAGGGGCGTTCCTTTGGTGGGTGGGCAGCTGGTGAGATTGAGGGATGGACCTGGCATTCTTGTACAGTGTATAGTGGAATTTATTTAATGTGAGTTTGGCCTGGACTGACAGGCATGTGTCCCCTGAGGCGGGACCTGGAACACAGTCCAGCGACAAGTTACTCGGAGTCTGGGCACGGGATGCTGTGTTATCCACACGCCAAGTGTCAAGGAGAAGGGGGGCGGGGCCAAACAGGACTTGGACCACAATCCACTCTCTTCCTTGTGCCCACTTCTCTCTTTCTTTCCTTATTTTGAATCCTCCTTCTTTCTTCCTCCTTTTCTTCCTCCTCCTTTTCTCTCCCCTTTCTCATCAGCTCCCTTCCTCCTTCTGTCTTGTGTTTATGCAGAGTACTCTTTACATTCTTTCTAATTGACCTGTGGATGAATTAAAATTGTACCATTTGCTTTGTGGTTTGATTGCGTTGTTGGTCTGACCTGCTGTTTATGGGGGGCATCGTGACCTCAAACCACAGCCCTGGAAGAAACTGTGCTCAGTTGAACATAGATCAAGGGCTGACGCCGGGGCTCCATCCAGGGGTGTCGGGATGCTGGGCAGTGGGGTCAGTTCCCTGTGCACCTGAGCAAAGGGCCGCTTTCCAGTGAGGACCCAGGGCAGCCCCCTACATGGCCACATGGGGAATGTCAGTGGAGTGGCACTCTCCTAGCTGGCATCCAAACCACCAGGTCTCTGGGGGAGGCTTGGGTGGTCCTGGGGATGCTGATGAGGGGTCCCACAGCGAAAGGAACAGCGGCTTTGGTTTTATTTGATCTCTTTACTCACATGCAAGATGGATGGAAGACAGACTAATATAAGGGAGCATCCTCACACACCAGGAGATCTAGTCTAGGGACCCAGGAGGGAGGAAGGAAGTTGGGGGGCTGTGGGCACAGGAGCAAGGAGGGGCCAGAAACCAGAATGAGCCACTGAGTGGGAGAGAACTGAGGAGCAGAGGCCTAGTTTGGGGTGTCATGGGTTTCCCCCTGGGTCTGTCAGGGAGAGGCAAGTAGGGGTTTGGAAGGAGGGAACCCCAAAGGCTGAAGGGAAACTGGGAGCTTGCCCTGCTTGGCTTTCTGTCCCGGGTCCTCACACTGTCTGGAGAACCCAGTGCCTGCATTTGTTAGCTGCTGGGTTCTGCCCTCTGGGGCTGGATGGGGCAGAGGCGAGGCCTGATCCCAGAGGGGCCACAGCTCCTCTAGGCTTCCGCTGCTGCTGAGGGCCATGGGTTGCTGGATCCAAGGTGTGAGAACAGATTGCACAAATGGCACAGGATGGGTCAGACACATCACAGGGCTTTGGGAAGGACAGAGAGGGTAGGCTGGGAAGGGCAGCAGTCCCGGTCCTTCCACGTTTGCGTTTACACAGCAGTCTGAGGGTGCAGAGCAATCCAGTGACTCCCCTTAGTCACTCAGAACACATGTCGAGTGCCAACCACCACTCGCCCTGGGGAGGGAGCAAGCTGCAAGCTCCGTGTGTGTTTAAGGACAGATGGTACCCCTGCACACAGGGACTCTCAGCGCTGCCAAACCTCTGGGGTCAGCTGGTGCTGAAGCGCCAGTTTCCAGCAGGTAAGGTCGGGGGAGGGTGGCTAACAGTCAGAGAACTCACAAAAGCTTCTAGGTAGGCGGAGTGGCTCAGCGACCATGCATCCTCCTTTGCCTCGAGGGGCCGCCCGGCACCTCCACCCTACCTGCACCCCACCTGCAGCCTGTGGCCCCTTTCCTCCCCCCTGGAAAACCTTTACTGCTCTACTGATACCTTTGGGCTCAGCCTCTGAACCTCTTTCTCTACCTGATTCAAAGACACCCCAACCTGTCTTCCCAACCTCCTCCCACTGCTCCCCACACTGGAACCCTCCCCCGCCCCCCTCAGCCTGGCTGTGCTGACACTTCAGGCTCATTCCTGAATCCAAAACTGCTCGCAGCCCTTCCGCCTGCGGCAGGGCCCCCTTCCCTCTTCCCCATGCAACTCTCCTTTGAGGTCCCTTCTGTTCCTTCTCACCTGGCCCCACCCCTACCCTCTGCTCCCCCCCACTTGGCCCCCTGTCACTCAATGTTGGGTCGTTCCTTCAGGAGAATCTTATACGGCGTCACGTTGTCACCGCTGTACCATAACCTTCTGCAGAGTAAGTGCTTTCTTTTCTAGCTCCTCAGCATCCAAAGCAGGGCTCTGTGCACAGTGGATTCTCGGCACATAGTACAATAGTGTCAAGTGAACTGTGCCGGCAAGTCTTCAATGACTGGGACAGTGTTGGGACTCTGTGGAGAGGCACCTGCAGTCACATGGTGTTGACCCCAAAGGCAAACTCTAGAGGCAGCAGCATAAAGGGTCAGCAGTGCCACCTTCGGGCCAAAGCGAGGGATATGCAGTCAGATCATTCCAGCCAGAAACGGAGGAAGAAAGAGTCCCACCGTCCCCAGGAAACAGACAATGATAAACAGCCAGAGGAAGATCCTGTCAATGACCATGGCCACATACTTCCAGTCTTCCTTTACCTGCAGGTGGAAGTGGGCTCACAGTGACAGAGGCCAGGCCTTGGGAAAAGGGACGTGTCCCACCCATGCCCAGTCCCTGGAAGGATGGCACAGGGGGAGTGGCAGCCTCGCTGAGACCTTGGGAAGCTAGGGAGTGCGGGGTCGGGGGCTGTCACAGGGTTGTCTCAAGACTCAAACAACGCTCTCCTTAGTGATTTTCACCCCAACGCCCCGCTGACACAGCCCAGAGAGCCTTTCCATAGGCCCTGAAGTTCCATGTGAGGGGGGCTGGAGGGACACAAGGAGGTTCTAGAACCACCCAGGAGCCTACGCCCAGCAGTTAGAAAATGGTGAAGATTTTGCTGCCCAAGGTTGCCTCCTCATTCACTCACCCATCCACTGCAAGAGATGGAGAAGAGGAGGTAGGTGAGGGTAGGTGCAGCCCAGAGAAGGTTGGAGGGAGAACTTTGTGGAATTTGGACTCACACCGCAGACAAACAGGTCTGGCCTTCTAGCTGCTCCCAGTTAGACAATGATTAATGTTTCTTATCTACTCAACAAGGCCACCCAGTAATAACCTCCCAGACTGTCATCCTTCCCTAGGTTGTTAAGAAGAACTCTGTGATCTTGGGCAGCGGCTCACTAATGCCAGACATGGCAGAGGCCGAGGAGGGGAGCCCACCTGGTACAACCAAGCTTCCTCAGGGTTTGTGAGTGAACAGTGAAGTTTACAAAATGCCCAGGACCCACAAACAAGAAAGAGGGGGAGAGCGTCAGGACAAAGCAGACAGGCTGGCACCTCTCCTGATGACACTTCCTCCGCCTCCCTCTGCTCCTCTCCTGCCACCTATCAGATAACAGAAATGGCATGGGAAGTCCCATATCTGAGATCCCTCCCTCTCTGTCCTGCTGTCTCCCAGTTAGGCTTAGCTGGGACAGTCTGGATGCTAGTCTACCACCTGCCAATCCATGTCTTAAGAACTACCAGTTAGTCATTCTCCATCACTATTTATTCCAGACTCCCAAGGGCCATGACTGAGGAAGATGGGTCCTCACGAAGGAGACTGGGCTGGCCCAACCTCACACTCTGGAGTAGGGTGGTTCCCTCCTAGGCTGGTAGAGTCACCCAGGGAAGGAGCCCAGCCCCAACTCACCGAACAGTCAGCATCCTCAGAGCGCAGGTGATCAGCAATATAGTGCACGCCTTCCAGGGCCTTCTGCATGCGAGGTGACAGCAGGAGCCCACCCTTCTGCAGCTGGGCCTCTGCCTCGGGACCCGAGGCCCCTTGGTGCAGACCACCATGGCTGCGGAGGACACCCATGGGGGAGGATGACATCCATCTGTCTTCCTCCTCCTCTTCGTCCTCTCTCTTCTCCGCATCCATGTTGGTCTCCAGCCAGTGATAGGAGGCTCTGAGCTTCAGATCTAGGGGCTCGTGGAGCTCCAAGGGGGGCAGGGGCCGGTTCATCAGAAGCCACCGGGGCACACAGCCCAGAAAGGCCGCCCTCACCCACTGGGGCATATTGTGGGTGCTGGGGGAGCGATGGTGGACATTCAGCACAAAGACTGTGATGACGATGGACAGGGTGACAAAGATCATGGTGAAGAGCAGGTACTCGCCGATGAGCGGGATGACCAGGGACGTGGAGGGAATGATCTCTGTGATGAGCAGGAGGAAGACGGTGAGCGAGAGCAGCACGGAGATGCACAGGGTGATTTTCTCCCCGCAGTCGGAGGGCAGGTAGAAGACGAGCACGGTCAGGCAGGAGATGAGCAGACAGGGGATGATGAGGTTGATTGTGTAGAAGAGGGGCAGGCGCCGGATGACAAAGTAGTAGGTGACGTCGGGGTAGATCTCGGCGCAGCAGTCGTACTTCTTGGTATTGTAGGTGCCTGTGGCGTTGATGATGGCCCACTCGCCACTCTCCCAGTAGTCCTTCAAGTCCACCGTCTGCTCCATCTGCTCCAGGTCGATCTTGGCCTTATCGTACGTCCAGGAGCCAAACTTCATCTTGCAGTTCTGCTGGTCGAAGGGGAAGAAAGTGACATCGATGCTGCAGGAGCTCTTGTAGATGGCTGGCGGCACCCAGTGCACGGTGCCCGTGGAGAAGAGGTGGGCCTTGGTCATGTGGGTCACTGCGAACTCCCCATCTGCACTGGGGAGAGGAGAGGAGTTGGGGGGCCTGGCACACCCCACCTGCCCACACCAGGCTGCTCCAGATAACCGGCAGCAGGGGGACCCCAATGACATAGCCAGGCCTGGCCAAGTTGTTGGGGTTTATGCCAGTGTGTGAGACTTCCCCCTGTATCAGTGAGACACTGACATTTATAACTACCTCAGTTGTCTTTTCAAACACCAAAAGTAGGAATTTTGAAGAATATAAGGAAGTACCAAGAATTTCAAAAACAGCCACTGTTAACATTCTGATGTTATATACAAGGTCTGACAATTAGGTTCGTGAATTTGTTGCGCCGATGTGGCTAACCTTTTTTGATATCAGAAGGATTATTCATTATGAATTTGTACCAACTGGATAAACAGTTAACCAAGGTTACTATTTGGAAGTGCTGAAAAGACTGCATGAAAAAGTTAGATGAAAATGACCTGAACTTTTCACCAACAATTCATGGCTCTTGCATCACGACAATGCACCAGCTCACACGGCACTGTCTGTGAGGAAGTTTTTAGCCAGTAAACAAATAACTGTATTGGAACACCCTCCCTACTCACCTGATCTAGTCCCCCAATGACTTCTTTCTTTACCAAAGATAAAGGAAATATTGAAAGGAAGACATTTTGATGACATTCAGGACATCTAGGGTAATACAACGACAGCTCTGATGGCAATTCCAGAAAGAGTTCCAAAATTGCTCTGAAGGGTGGACTAGGTGCTGGCATCGGTGCATAGTTTCCCAAGGGGAGTACTTCAAAGGTGACGTAGTGATATTCAGCAATGAGGTATGTAGCACTTTTTCTAGGGTGAGTTTGCAAACTTAACTGTCCGACCTCGTATATCATTTATATTTGATAGTCTTATAGATCTCATATGTAACATTTTTACACATTTGTGATCAATATGTGATTTATGAGGAATATGTAGTTTGGTTGTCTGTTTGTATTCATTTAATATTTTAGAGTGATTATTTATGAGTATATTTTCTCCCCCCAGCAGGTGGTGAGTAAGGCCCTCTGCTGGGGGTCATGTCTGTTCCCCCTGGGATCTTCAGTTCCTTGCTCAGAAGAGACCTAATAATCTTTGCTGGTGAAGGAAGATACCTCCTTGATGCCACCCATTTGCCGTGTATTTCTGAGCAGCCTCATCCACTAGGGCCTACACAGGAGCGATGGAGGGACGAGGGATGCAATGTGACACTCAGCCTGCCCTTACGGAAGCAGAAGGAAATGAGATGAGCCCCAAACACCTACTACACAAGAGAGGCAGTCTGGCAACAGCACTATGTGGGCTGTCCATGCGCTCCCCAAGAACTCTGGGAACGGGACTCCCTCCTGGCTGGAGCGAGCAGGATGACCATGAAAGTGGCCATTCAAGCAAGGCTTTTACCAACGTTAGGGTTTGACAGAGAGATGGGGAGCAGAGGGTTCCTGAAGAGAATCCTCTGGAACAAGGAACAGAGAGGAAGGACAAAACTCACGTGAGGGCAGGGCGTGAGGGGCCAGGCGTGAGGAGGCGACGATGGGAGATGAGGCTGGCAGTGACGTGGGGCCAGGTATCTAAAGGCCCACAAGGGCCCTGAGGACAGTGGAATAGCAGTGACCTCCCAGGCAGGGGCTTCCTGGGAGCCAGAACCCATGATTCCCCTCAGGAGGAGTGAGTCCGGTGCCCCAGCCTTTATGAGCCATTAGCTCCCCCTGCCAATTCCCAAGATCAATCCTAAAGTCAGGGAAACCAGAAGCGTACACAAAAGAAAGACTCCTTTCCCATGGAGTGGTTCCAGACTAGAGGTATAGGCGGGTTCGAAACAGGAACTTTGAAAGAGAGTGACAAATTGATCAGGGCAGAAATCTTAAAAAAAAAAAATTGGAAAGGCATTTTTGTCATCACACACAATCACCACTAGATGGCAGCATGCGCCCCCTTTTTGAGGAAGGAAAGGTGTAATTTCCTTGATCTTCCGGTTTACCTGGAGTGGAGTGTTTGGGTGGAGGAGACCTTTCTTTAAAGGTAAGAATTTGGTTTGAAGCATTGTCTTATCGTAAGAACTTCTTATTATAGTCAAGCCTGAAGCCTTACTGGCAATCCTAAAACTCCAGGTCACATTTGCTCTTGACTTCTGCCAGATGCACTGGAAGCAAAAACTAGAAGGATCCTGGGCGCTGTCAACTG